GTATCTCTGCTGTTCACATATGAACGTCCTGCCCCCTTACTTGAAGCAGGGAGTCCAAATAAAGTTTGTTTGACCTACATTACAGGGAGTACCAGGAAGGGATCCTGGTTCAGACCCACGCAGAAAGATGTTGTGGCTGACATTCTTGCTACACCCATCACGCAGTCCGAGAACAGGAAAATACAAGAGAAAACCCAGAATATGACGGTTGGGTTGAGAATTACTACACGTTGGCAGTGTTCATACACGTCAACTTTTAGAAGATGGGTCATCATTTTAAAACATAGCAATCATGCTAGGAAAGGATATGGCAAGTTTTTAAAATTTCCCAAAGTGCTTTTATGTTTCTCCAGGATACAATGGAGTGGTTTCTAGATAGAGAATTTGGGGTATAATCTCTTTGAGAAAGGAGTCCCAGGGAATAGGCCTAAATTAAATCTTATTCCGAAATCTAGGAAGAGGTGAGATTTCTACCTTGCTTTAGAGCTAGCCAATAAAGTCACATAGTGATTGCAGCCTTTCCTGGGTTTTGGGTTGCTGTTCAGATATGTTTAATGGCATCACGTTTTGACATGTGTCATGCTGCTCTTTAGAATTTCAGTTTGAGTAGTGTATTTAATAGAAGATGGCACAGTATGTTCCCAAAAGTGTCCCAAAGATTATATCTGTTAGTGTCAGTTCTGCAAAGATGTATTAGTTAACTATACTGCACAGGAGTGAGGAACATTTCTTGTTAATTTAAGGAGGGAGAAAGCTTGATGACACATGCAAATGGCACATCATATATTTTAAGTTCTGTGTATGTCGCCTACACTAACTGCATTTGTCCTTTCAACATCTTTCTCAGTTTGAGCACCACCATATTTGAATTTTATGTGACTGTGATATTAATACACCTGTTAAAGAGAAAATGAATTACATAACATTTTTTAAAAATTAGGTATCATACAACCATAGAATGATTTGGGTTAGAAGGGACCTAAAGCCCATCTACTTCCAACCCCCCTGCTGCGGGCAGGGACACCCTGCACTAGACCACGTTGCCCACAGCCCCATCCAACCCGGCCTTGAACACTTCCAGGGATGGGGCATCCACAACCTCTCTGGGCAACCTGTTCCAGTGCCTCACCACCCTAACAGGGAAGAATTTCTTCCTCATATCTGATCTAAATCTACCCTCCTTCAGCTTAAACCCATTACCCCTTGTCCTGTCACTACATGTTCTTGTAAACAGTCCCTTTTGGGGAAAAATAATACATATGTGGAGGCCTGATGACATCTGCCTTGAAATTATGGTCTTCCACTTCTTTACCTGGCAGCTGTCACTGTGCTTAAGAAGGAGCTGGGCCAACGAGTCCACTGCAGGAGAAGTACAAAGTGCTTGGGGTTGTGGGGGACACTAATTCTCAAGGTATTAGAAGCTGTGTTTGCACATGCATAAACAATCCTAGTTTTACGCAGATGTATTTAGCAGTACTGAGCCAAAACTAGAGCGCTACAACAGCGCCTACATGAAGATGAAACAGAGTGAGGGCAGTGCTTGGAAGTTCAGGTAGACATGAATTTATCTTCCGTGGGAGTGGGACTGAAGTGCCAGGGACAGCTGTCCTGCGGAGATCCTGTTTGACAAGTTATGGATGCTCTCAAAGAACAGAAGCTGGCCCAAGTGTGAAAGAGTAGCAGGAGAATCTGCCCCCATCCCTACGTGCTGACTTTAAGGTAGCATATGTAGTAATGCTTGGTGCAGTTCCAGTAGTGCTTTGCTGTGGTTCTTGCCAATCTTTCCCAGGTAGCTGCTATGAAGAGGGTAATTTCAGCAGTATACTCTGAGTCATCTGGGTAGGGGAATACAATGCTGCAATACGTTGTCTGAGGAACAGTTTCACCAACAGAACTGCTGCTTCTGGTGGAGAGCAGGAACCATATGTACAGTATCAGGCTTAGCCCAGTTTTAAGATGGAGTACATGAGAAAGTCCTCTTCTAATTTTATTCTTCAACCATGGCAGAAAATTTTCATCTTTTTAGACATTTCTGCTGGCTCTGGCACAGATCTGCTTCACAGTGATAGGTTCAGAAGCGAGCCTTCTAGCTCAGGTCCAGTAGCTTCAACTACTACTCCATTTCCAGAACCTCTTGGTCCTTTAGTTGTTATTGTCGCAAAAGTGCATGTGAGGTTTCCAATGATCTAGCCCTGTTTTTGACTGCAGGTTGGTAGATGGCAGCACTGGCACAAATTGTTTTGCAAAGACTGCGCTAGCAGCCAGCCTTACTCTCTTCTTCCCTCTGGCTGCTTTACTCTTCGGTAACTTTTTAGCCTCAGTGTGCTTTGCAACGTCCAATGTGTTGCCACCAGCAGTTCCTGCTAATGCCAGGAGCTCCCTCGCACAGCTTTGTGCTTCTTGTCTGGCACTAGGTGCAGCAGAGATCCTTAGCCCTACAGCAGTCTGACCCTGTTCGCTGTTATTCCTCTCTGAAAAACTCAGAGTCTCCGTACCTTTGTATTTGCCGTGAGGACAATACAGGTCTGTCTCCAGCTGGCTCTTGCTGTTGCCCGCTAAAGCTTAGGCAGAAAGATGAACAAGTCGGTGCTGGCTCACCGTGCAGTTGTTGCCAAGGGCACAGAGCAAGTTTCTCGCTTCACTCCCTGGGAAGCCAGAGTTGCTTTGTACCCTGAGCCCCTTTGTACCCTCTTTTGGATGGTGGGATCGGTTTAGCAATGGGTGTCTTTTCCCCAGAGAGCAGTTATTAATAGCTTGACAATAAACGATGACTGTGAACGCAGTGCTAGAACATCCTAGCAATGGAAACGAGAGCAGAGCAAAGGACATATGCTCTGAAGTCGGTAATGGCGTCTCCCTTCATGTCCTGAAGCAATGAGATACATGGATTAATTTTAAATGCATTGGTAACATATGGGTCTAAAATTATTTCATGCTATTTAGAACAAGTCCTTTGAGCTAAGGCTGTTGTAAATTCTAATTAGTCTATGCTAATCTCCATAATAAGCAGCTATTTCTAATGCACATCTAACTGATGAGGTCTGACAGCATTTTCCACACTTATTTATACACTGGCAGCAAGCTGGTATCATGCTAGTGTCAGAATGTTTGCTCAGGTTACAAAAACTCTGTATTTTCTGTATTCTACAGGGAGTCTGTATTTACTGGAGGCTTGTGTCTGTTCTAGGATTGCCAATTTATGCCTGTTTGCTTGTATTTATTTATTTATGCAGAAAATAGGGAAAACTCCTTCAGCCGTTCCCGAAGCTCCAGCGTGTCCAGTATCGACAGGGACTCGAAGGAGGCAATTACTGCTCTGTACTTCATGGAGTCCTTTGCCCGAAAGAATGACTCTGCCGTCTCCCCCTGTCTCTGGGTTGGAACGGGCCTTGGTATGGTCTTAATCCTCTCCCTTAATCTGCCTGCTAGTGACGACTTACGGCAGTCAGAGCCTGTCATGGTGTCGCCAAGCGGTAAGGGTGCAACTCTTTTCCTGTTTATTATCTGTCTTGGTGCAACAGGGGGAATAACTGCGTGATTTTATATGGCCCTTTGGGCAGAAATTTCTCGATACGTGGATGAAAAAATGATCACTCACTGTGTAGAAGGCACACGGCTAAAGAAAGATGCTCGTGAGAGACCCGCGACTTCATGAACTGAGACACTTTGGTTGTGTTAGTTCCGAAGATTACCTTGTGACGTGGGCAACGTTATGCGTTTCTTGTGAGGACAGGGAAATTAGCAGAGTTCCTTCATATTGTGAAATTGCAGTCCTGTGTACAGCTCTGATGTAATCCTGTCTGGGATGCTGTGAACAGTTTGGCTGTATTACTATCAGAAAGCTGCAGAGAAGCAGAAGGGAGTTCAGGAAAGGAAACAAAAATGTTGGCAGGTTGATGTACCAGGAGAGATCCTTGGCTGAGTGAGTCACAGATGGTGCAGAGAGAACAGAGGGCTGAGAGAGGTCAGGTCTGAGGAGAGGTGGTATGCACTTAGTATGTTTAAAGTAAGATAATGACAAAAAACAGAGAATGCACAGACATAGAGGTTCCCACCCCTGGTTTGTTTAGAAAAACAATGCTGGAAGAGCAATTTTACCACTGGGGAGTAAATATCTAACTAGTATATAAACAACAGCCTATCTTTATGGTATTCAATGGCATGTATTATATACATTATTTGGTACCGGCTGCCTGAGTCTTCTTCAGTACTGGTAGCCTGTTTGTTCACCTTCTTGTGTGGTCACAAAGAACTGAGCAAGTGAGACTTGTCACCTTAGCCAGATGAACGTGTTTGCTCTGTTTACAAAAAAGGAATGTCAGCTGCGCTGCATGCGTTCACAGTACTGACAGCCAGTGGAATTGTGGTGCCAGTGAGCGGAAATTATATTTTGCAGGCACAGTTCTGACACTGAAAGGAGCCGTGCTGACCTTCGCATGCTTGGACTGCATGGGGACATTGACACATCCACCGTATGAAGTATGGAGGGACCCACACAGTGCTGATGATGGTGAAAAAACAAGGAAAAGGAAACTTGTCATGCATTCCCCTTCCTCTTCCCAGGATATGGGTGATCATCAATTTGCAGTCATTTGTTCAGAAAAACAAGCCAAAGTCTTCTCATTGCCTTCCCAAACATGTCTTTATGTCCACAACATCACCGAAACGTCCTTTTTATTGCGAGCAGATGTGGTCACCCTCTGTAACAGCGTCTGTCTGGCGTGCTTTTGTGCCAATGGGCACATCATGACACTGAGGTACTTATCTAACTAATCTTGTGACAAAACTAAGCAAAGACGTGGCACGGTGCCGTCACGGTCCACTTGTGTTTGCTCCAGAGTGCCTGATGCTCTGCATTAACTCCCTGGTGGGTGCATTCAATGCCCTGCTTTGCCCGCTGCCATACCTGTTCCTTGGCCTGTCTCCACTTGGGGAGTTAAGGCAGCTGCACAGCAAAGCAAATTTTCTTTTTTTTCATAGTAATCCTCCGCCCAGGGCAATTGATGGCTGATGATTTTTAACTGTCATAAAAGAAAACCCTGATAATTTTGCTCAGTTGTGGTAGGTCAGGTATGGAGGAGTATAGAAAAACTCTGGCATAGAAAAAGTATTGTTTATCCAGCATGAAGCAGCAAGTCCCGCTCTTGCTGTTTCAGAAGACTCTGCTCAGAGCAGCTGGTTTTCTTCCCTGTCATCTCCACCATTGAGCTGGCTGTGCAGCAGCCCTGTAGTCATGCCCTCACCTTGCTGCAACCCCTTACCATGGCCAAGGCATTTAAATTTTGGAAAGCGCCATCCAAACAGCGAACCAGGAGAAGCTGGAGGACTACAAAGGCGGTGCTGGAGCCTTTGTCCGCAGGGTGCAAGTAGGGCCCTGCTGTGCCATTTTCTGCAGATGGCAGTGCGATAACTGGGGGCAGGCCTTACCCTGCAAAGTGCCCAGCCACATGCCACACGCACATCCCAAATCCAGACTGCGGCAGAAGCCTAAGCGTCATTGAGGCAAGGCAGCTGAAGCTTCTCCATGCAGGAAACAAAGGCAGCATGTTTATGGCAGAATTTTTCAGCTTAGAGCTGCACCTTAACTCTTCCAGTTACCAAAAGCATAAACTTAACAGTTGGTTTAAAATGCAGCCACGGAGCGCGGGTACCGTGTGTGGCAACTGGTGACTAACCTGGGTGTCTGCCTCTCTTCAGCTTGCCCAGCCTTCGTCCTCTGCTGGACATCAACTATTTGCCTGTGACAGACATGAGGATAGCGCGGACCTTCTGTTTCACTAATGAAGGGCAAGCTTTGTATCTCAGCTCTCCCACAGAGATCCAGCGCCTGACATACAGCCAGGAGATGTGTGACAATCTGCAGGTAGGGCTCAAACCCTCACTTTGTTGCCTTTGCGTTTGTGTGGAAGGGCCAGTGGCCGGACTCGTTGGATGTAAATGCCACGGTTTTGCTGCTAGGTTGCTCAAAAACCCATGTCATACCAGTCTGTGGGTTCTATTCAAAAGACAAAGTTTTAAATGGTTAAATAAGTAATACTGACATTACCAGAGATGATAAATTGTTGTCAAATAGCAAGCATAAATGTTGGGGAGGGAAGTATTTTAGTATTTAGCAATTTTTAGCATTTGAAGTGAAGGGTGTGCTGTGGCAGCAGGACAGACTTGCCCTGGCCAAATGATGCCAAAGCAGCAGAGAGACGTCAGCAGCTCTGTCACTGTTTGGACTTTTTCATGATACTGTCACCTTGCTCCTGTGCCCTAACGGCTGGCCCGAGCCCCACGTAACTGCAGTCTCTGCTGGCTCTGCCCCAACGGGACTCTTCACAGCCTGCTTCTCTCCAAGTCCTACTGTACGAAAGACCAACTGAAGGGAAAG